CAATTGATAGTAGGGATCCGTACAAATTCAAAATGGTGTAACTTTTAAAAATCTGACGCTTTTTAACCGAGATATTCAAAAAAATTGATCAAAAAAGTTGTGATTTTCGAGCCGACCCCGATTTTAAGAAAAAACGTGATGTAACCCCTTGCTTTTTCGTCGATTTTGGTCAAAATTTAGATTTTCTATTTTTTGATGCCAGTCGAAGGTACTGATCCTTACGAGTCCAAAATGGTATAAAATTCAAAAATCGGACATTATTTGGCCGAGATATTCCAAAAAATCATCAAAAAAGGTTGACTTTACAAACGAATCGTTTTTTGGTCAACAATTTTTTTTAGCACACCGATTTTTGATTTACTTGAATGTCAATTGATAGTAGGGATCCGTACAAATTCAAAATGGTGTAACTTTTAAAAATCTGACGCTTTTTAACCGAGATATTCAAAAAAATTGATCAAAAAAGTTGTGATTTTCGAGCCGACCCCGATTTTAAGAAAAAACGTGATGTAACCCCTTGCTTTTTCGTCGATTTTGGTCAAAATTTAGATTTTCTATTTCTTGATGCCAGTCGATAGTACTGATCCTTACGAGTCCAAAATGGTATAAAATTTAACGAATCGTTTTTTGGTCAACAATTTTTTTTAGCACACCGATTTTTGATTTACTTGAATGTCAATTGATAGTAGGGATCCGTACAAATTCAAAATGGTGTAACTTTTAAAAATCTGACGCTTTTTAGCCGAGATATTCAAAAAAATTGATCAAAAAAGTTGTGATTTTCGAGCCGACCCCGATTTTAAGAAAAAACGTGATGTAACCCCTTGCTTTTTCGTCGATTTTGGTCAAAATTTAGATTAAAAGTTACACCTTTTTGAATACGTACGGATCCCTACTATCAATTGATACTTTTTGAGCGACAACTTTTTTAATATAACAAATATTATTTATTTCAGGTAAATACAGTCACAACTTGACAAAAGGGAGGACAGAAGGAAAATAGCTGGAAAAGACCAGACAAAGCTTACTTGGGCAACGCCGGATAATACCCGCTAACTGTAGATACATGAAATAAAAACAAATTATTCAAATGCTGTAAAACATATATTTTTTTGAATAACTATATAAATAATAATTAAGCAATGAAAATACGATGCTATGAAACAAAATAAATATATTGAAAAATAAATCAATTCTGATGTTTTTTTTGTGAGGAATTTTTTGGGCAGTTAAGGTGAGTAATTCGAAAGAGTCGACATAGCTTCGCCGATCTGCGCGAGATTATTTTGTTAGAAAACAACTCCCGGGCAAAAAAGTCTGATTTTCGTTTTTAATGCGTTGGAGATATGTCGTTTTGAAGCGACATAGCTCCACCGCTCTGATTTTCGTTTTTATTGCGTTGGAGATATGTCGTTTTGAAACATTTGCATTGCATACCCAAAAGGGGCGTCTGTTGGCAGCCGCTGGCTGTCGAGATATTTCTTAAAATCTGCCAAAATACTAGGCGAACAGAAATGCATAGAAGGTCGACGAGTGGCTTGAAAAAAATATTTATTGCATAGCATTAAGGGGCAAACATGTAACTCAATTAAAATGAGTGCTGTTAATTAGCAGTTTATGTAAAATGAGCGCTGTAAGCCGGCTGTCAAACAACAGCTGCAGCTGCAGCTAATGTAAAAGGGCGCCTGAAAGAAAAAGCATACATGTTATTGGACCATTTCGATGCAAATTTTGCAAGGATCTGATCCTTTAGGTTCCCAAGGACTATATCGATGGTATGGTATAACCAAGGATATGCTAGTCAACTAGAAACCATCCAGGGATCCAGGAACTGTTGCTGGGTGCGGGTGTAAAAGAAAAGCATACATATTTTGCAGGAACATTGTTCTTTAGGTTCGCTAGGACTATATCTATGATATAGAATAACCAAAGATATATAGGTCAACTAGGTACCATGAATAGCGATCATTTGCCGATTGAAAGTTGTCCATGGGCGTGGCAGAGTTTCCGCGTGGGAAATACTGTTTTTATTACTTTAAAAAGACATAACTCAGCCGATTCCAAAACGATACAATTATTTCTTGATTATTTGTTGTTTATAAACGTTGGCAGAATTAGGCTGAAAAAAGAACAATTTATTAGCTTTTGTAAACTAAAATACATCGGTTTAATTACGTCCGACGTAACTTTAAGATCGGCAGAATTCTACGTAATGATATATTCAAAAATATGTTCAAAAAAGTTTAGATTTTCAAACCGAGCAAGGGGTTACATCACGTTTTTTCTTAAAATCGGGGTCGGCTCGAAAATCACAACTTTTTTGATCAATTTTTTTGAATATCTCGGCTAAAAAGCGTCAGATTTTTAAAACTTACACCATTTTGAATTTGTACGGATCCCTACTATCAATTGACATTCAAGTAAATCAAAAATTGGTGTGCTAAAAAAAATTGTTGACCAAAAAACGATTCGTTTGTAAAGTCAACCTTTTTTGATGATTTTTTGGAATATCTCGGCCAAATAATGTCCGATTTTTGAATTTTATATCATTTTGGACTCGTAAGGATCAGTACTATCGACTGGCATCAAGAAATAGAAAATCTAAATTTTGACCAAAATCGACGAAAAAGCAAGGGGTCACGTTTTTTCTTAAAATCGGGGTCGGCTCGAAAATCACAACTTTTTTGATCAATTTTTTTGAATATCTCGGCTAAAAAGCGTCAGATTTTTAAAAGTTACACCATTTTGAATTTGTACGGATCCCTACTATCAATTGACATTCAAGTAAATCAAAAATCGGTGTGCTACAAAAAATTGTTGACCAAAAAACGATTCGTTTGTTTTTCTTAAAATCGGGGTCGGCTCGAAAATCACAACTTTTTTGATCAATTTTTTTGAATATCTCGGCTAAAAAGCGTCAGATTTTTAAAAGTTACACCATTTTGAATTTGTACGGATCCCTACTATCAATTGACATTCAAGTAAATCAAAAATCGGTGTGCTAAAAAAAATTGTTGACCAAAAAACGATTCGTTTGTTTTTCTTAAAATCGGGGTCGGCTCGAAAATCACAACTTTTTTGATCAATTTTTTTGAATATCTCGGCTAAAAAGCGTCAGATTTTTAAAAGTTACACCATTTTGAATTGACATTCAAGTAAATCAAAAATCGGTGTGCTAAAAAAAATTGTTGACAAAAAAACGATTCGTTTGTTTTTCTTAAAATCGGGGTCGGCTCGAAAATCACAACTTTTTTGATCAATTTTTTTGAATATCTCGGTTAAAAAGCGTCTGAAGTCAACCTTTTTTGATGATTTTTTTGAGCTTTATCTGGTTTTTGATCGACGACTTTTTATAATAAAATAAATATTATTTATTTCAGGTAAATACAGTCACAACTTGACAAAAGGGAGGACAGAAGGAAAATAGCTGGAAAAGACCAGACAAAGCTTACTTGGGCAACGCCGGATAATACCCGCTAAGTGTAGATACATGAAATAAAAACAAATTATTCAAATGCTGTAAAACATATATTTTTTTGAATAACTATATAAATAATAATTAAGCAATGAAAATACGATGCTATGAAACAAAATAAATATATTGAAAAATAAATCAATTCTGATGTTTTTTTTGTGAGGAATTTTTTGGGCAGTTAAGGTGAGTAATTCGAAAGAGTCGACATAGCTTCGCCGATCTGCGCGAGATTATTTTGTTAGAAAACAACTCCCGGGCAAAAAAGTCTGATTTTCGTTTTTAATGCGTTGGAGATATGTCGTTTTGAAGCGACATAGCTCCACCGCTCTGATTTTCCCTTTTAAAAACGTTGGAGATATGTCGTTTTGAAGCGACATAGCTCCACCGTTCTGATTTTCGTTTTTAATGCGTTGGAGATATGTCGTTTTGAAACGACATAGCTCCGCGATTTTGAAAAAAAACGTAATATAACCCCTTGCCATTTTGACGATTTGGGTCAAAATTTAGATTTTCACCTATTTCAATGGCAGCTATATGATATAGTGGCCCGATCCAGCTGTGTTGCTTGCAACAGTAAAAGATACTTCTACAAAGTTTCATAAAGATAGCTTTAAAACTGAGGGACCAGTTCGTATAGAAACAAACAGACAGACGGACATGGCTCTATCGACGCGGCTGTTGATGCTGATCAAGAATATATATACTTTATGGGATCGGAGATGTCTCCTTCTATGCGTTACACATTTCACGACAAATTATAATACCCTATGCTAGGGTATAAAAAGGTGAATAGTAAATAAATGTAAATAAAGTTAGTATAAATGGTGTAGTTAAGTTGAATACGTAAAGCAATAAAACTTTGCTTCTGATACGGAAAAATTTCAGGCACCTCCAATTAAATATTTATGCGCTTCTTTAGGACCATTTATTTATATCTTTTATTAAGTATCAATATCACGTTGATGATCTTTTGTTGTTGTTGTTGTTGTATTGGGCTTTCGTTTTTCATAGCAATAAATGTGGTTTTACGTAAGTTATATATATATATATATATATATATATATATAGTTCTATATGCATAGGCGCAATAAATCAACTAAGCGGCGTATTAATATGGGCTTGTTCTATGGGGATATTGTATTTTGTCGCGTATGTTTTCGTATAGACCAGAGGACATAGTTAAGATCTATATGATTTTTATAAAAATCCAGCAAATTAACAAGAAATCTTGTGGACGTCAAACATATATATATATATAACTGTATGTGTAGGTATATATAGCTAGCATGCATGTTAACGCTATATATCTGTATATATATATATATTCCTATACATATAAAGTCGGTAGTTAAGAAACTTACAGGCTAGACATATAAACGCAAGTCGCAGACTAGGCGGCGCTTCTATCAAAACTGTATCAAAATTTCTATAAAATGTACTCAATTTGATTTTCTTTATATATATTTAACTTTTTTTTTTACTATATGGCTGATTTTTTTTTTGTTAAATTTGATTTGTGGTTGTGTTTGCGTTTGATTTCTTTGGTGTTCAATTGCTGTGTTTCGATTTTAATATATATATATTTATTTTCAAGTCTTGTTTTCATTGTTGCATTCGGTTCATTGGTTCTCTGGTTTACTCTTACGGAATCGGGTTGTTTGGCTCGCAAATGCATTTTGGCGCTGAAACCGAATTCAAGTGCGTACAGTCTCTGGCCCATTAAAGGTTAATGCATATAGTTGAGTACAATGCAGTTAAAATATTTAACAAAAGAGTAAAATGAAAATTGAACACAAAAAATCAAATATTATTTTCATAATACATTTTATTTGTATTTTCTGTTTTCGTTTGTTTGCGGCTTAGGCGAGCGTTCTTTAAAAATTAATTAAGTAAAACTTTTCATAAAAATAGATAAAATATATATATATATATATATATATTTATATATATATATATGTATGTATGTATGTGTGTTTGTTTATATATATTGGTAGCATAAGCATAAGAAATTAAGAATCCATTTAAAATTTGCATGCACAGGCAAAATAATGATAATTATAATTATAAATTGTTGAGTTTGGTTAAAATTAAGAAAAATTAAATGAAACTGCGCTGCATACAAATCGCTGCATAATGTTTAAACAATAAATCACAAAACTTAAGCTAAGCACGTAAAATTCTAAACTAACAAATTTGCCGCTTCTTTTTTTTTTGTTATTTTCCTTTTCTTTCGAGACTTTTGCTTAAATATTAATTTTACGCTTAATCAGTTTTCTTAGATTCAGTTTTCATTATAAAATGTGTTGTTGTTATTTTCTCTTTTTTTTTACTATATAAACTTACTTAATAAAAAGCACAGTTATATATATAAATATATATATGTATGTATTTGCGTAGTATCGTATATTGTGTGTCTGCATACATTATGTTTTGTATGCATGTCGTATATTTGTTATGAAATGTATCAAAAATTTGACTATTAGCTACAGTTAACTATAATCCATATATAATATATATAGTTAATGTTTTTCTTTTGCTTTCGCTTCTATATGCCAGTTAATCGCGCTCTATAACCTTGCACATACATATACACACATCTAATTCGATTTATATATAAACATAATGATATCATTTGTAGCTCGTATTTATATATATATATATATATAAAGTGTATTATAAATATAATTGTGAATAATCTTTAGCTGCAACCACAACTTTTCCGTTCATACATATTTGAAAAACTATGTACGATCCAAACATAATCTGCTTTGCTTTGTTACTTAATTGAATGCCTTCATATCATAGCATATCTCAAATATCATTAACTTTAGCTCTTTATATAGTTCATATTTAGTTGTATATATTTATGTTGGTTTTGCTAATCAGTGCGTGATCCCAGACCAGAGACCAGTGTCGATCCATTGCCATCCCTTCCGCATCCGCTTAGTCGGTCAGCGTTTGGGCCACAAGCGCCAGCTGCTCTTTGAGCACACGGAACGAGGGACGCTCCTCGGGCCCATGCGACCAGCACTTTTTCATGACCTGCAAAACAAGAGGGCAAATGTTATATATACTGCAAATGCAAATTATTTTGATTATATAAAGTTGTAGCTTAAAGGAAACTCTCTTGTAGTCTAAGAAATCAAATGAAAAGTATTTTAAGTGTTGGATAATTATTTAATTTGTTCTTCCAATCGTTAACTTTACCAATTTCCCTAATATCGATAAGTATATATTGTAAGAAATGGCCTTTTAATCATAATGCGCTAGATACATCGAACTTCGAGATACTTTATATCTCGTAGATTATACAAATCACAAATGGTTCGCTGAAAGTCCAATTTGAAAGCTAAGATCTTGTGCTTTATGCTTATATATGCCATATATAACGCTTGAATCGAAGCTATGAACAAGAAAACCATTTAAGGCTGCCTTTGTCAGAGTGTGAGACCAAGGCAAGAATAAGCATAGCCGCTTCATTAGGTCTATACTTCTAGTCTAGGGTACACGCTAGTCAGACACACCCGATTGTTTTACTTTAGCATACAAATCTTATATATTCTATAACTTACATCGTATATCTCCTTGGCACACGACTTTGGTTTCTCTAGTATAATGCCGCGCTGGACACGCTCCACAACTTCGGTGTTCTTTAGACGGCCATAGGGCATTTTGCCACAGGTGAAGATCTCCCACATGAGAACGCCTGACAAAATATGGAGTACAAATATAGAATAAGTATATATAAACTGTGAAATAGTCAGGTCTTATGTGTCTGCATTTAAAGCAAGTGCAAGCCAAACGATCTTTTTGAACAAACTTTGTAAAAATGCATTATTGTGATCTTTCATCCTTTTCGGCAAATCCACCTACATAGGTGGAAAATGTGGGCTGCAGTTTTTTTGTGCAAAGTATTTAATTAAAAATTTGAATTTCATATCAACTTTGCCCAAACAAAGTCCTATTTTCCACTTAGATACGTGGATTTACACCAAATTTTCCACCTAGGAAGGTAGATTTGGCATAAAGAGTGAAACGCGTTAATAATGAAGCAACTTTTCACATTGGCGTATGGAATTTTTTAAAACCCCGTTCTATTATTCTAGAAATTCTTCAATCAGTTAACACAAGCATTTCTTAATTTATAGATCTACTCACCGTAAGCCCACACATCGCTTTTGGAAGAGAAGCGCGTGTAGTTGAGCACCTCGGGCGGTGCCCATTTGATGGGAAACTTGGTGCCGCCGGAGCTGGTGTACTGATCGTCCAGCACATAGCGCGCGAGTCCAAAGTCGGCCACTTTGACAACATTCTCGGAGCCGACAAGGCAATTGCGTGCCGCCAGATCGCGATGTATATAGTTGTGTCGCTCCAGATAGGCCATGCCCTTGCTCACTTGTATGCACATGTCCAGCAGGAGGCCCATGTTCCCGATGAGCGTATTCTCGTGCCGGCGCAAATAGTTGAGCAGCGAGCCATGCTTCATGTACTCGGTAACAATATAGATGGGACGATGCTTGGAGCAGACGCCATACAGCTGTACGAGATTCGGATGCTGCAGCTTGGTCATGACCTTGGCCTCCTCGATGAAATCATCCTCGGACATGGTGCCCTCCTTCATCATCTTGACGGCGGTATCGATTGAGCCGCGCCATTTGCCGCGACGCACCACACCGAACTGGCCCGAGCCCAGCTCCTCCATCAGCATCAGCTCCATGGGATGGATTTCCCATTTGTCGTGCGATAAGCCCGCCGTTGGTGGCACCGGACGATCGCAGGGCGATGACTTTAGCCGGCACGCCAATCCGCCCGAATTGTGCCGATGATAGTTAATCAGATCCGGGATTGTCTCGCAGCAGTGCTTCTCGCTCAGATAATACTCGCCGCGTGCGTTCTGCTTGATGTGGTAGTGCTTCACATGCGACTGGGGACTGTGAATGCAGAGAATATAACATTGATTAGCATTATAATTGATTCTCGTGCTGATTTATATGCCTGAGCTTGAACTGTGACAATCCGTCAGTCTGTCGGCTTTAGCGATATTTTAATATCCATCTAGATATTACCAGAACCTTTTGTGCTTTTCACTATTTTACCCATTTTCCACCTGTTCTACTTTGAACCCAATATATCCACGATAAGCCCATTTCCACCCAGGCAGGTGGATTCAAAGAAAAGTGTGAAACAAAATTATTCGAAAGATCTATAAAAAGTTTTGCTTTAGTCTGATGGGCTGCTAATCAAAAAAAAGGCAGCATTAGTAAAAATTAGCAAAAATATATTTTACAACCGTTTCCCACCAATTTTCCACAATTTCGAGTGAAACTTTCTCTTGCCTGCACTCACATCTCGTAAGTTAACTACTGTGAAAAGCTTGACTTTCTGGATATATAGAGTTTCTTCATCAATGAGTCAGTTAGTCAGTCAATTGGTCAATCGTTCAATGGGCATCTCTTAGACTATAATTTCCATTCCACACTTACACTTTGGTGTGCAGAGATAGCGTATAGAGACCCTTGGTCGATGACTTGCGCACCACAAAGCAGCCCTCCTTGTCGCCCTGCTTGAGCAGCGACTCGGCGCGTTGTCGTGACATGTCGCCCACATACCATCTGCATGGAGAAAGAAAAGATAAGTGGGTGTTGCAGAATATTATTGCTAAGCCTTACTCGTAACGCTCCAGACCCAACAGCGCCTTGGGCTTCACATAATTGCTGGGTATGTAGCCGACATTGCCGAGTGCATCCTTGACCTTCCACCAATGCTCCTGTGAATCGTCAATGACCTCGTATTCGGCATTCTGGAATCGGTTTCGTTTTTGACTATTTACTTGGTGATTTTAATTTGTAGCTTACCTTCTCCAGTGATAGATCGCCGCCTTCGATGGCTTTGAATGGATAAAGCGCCACCACGAGCTTGACAAAGTGTGAGTTGTCCTGCGAATATGAGGCAAGAGATGTTAAATGATAAGAAAGTGTGGACTGCCAAAGGTTAAAGAGCCTTGCTGAGTTTAGTGAGGATATCTTGAAGAACAAGCAAGTTTTTTATACAAAAACTTAAATTAAGATGGATAAATCCTATGGGTTCTATAGGAGAAAGTAGTCCGATAGGACAGATAAGACAAGTTGTTGTTCAGTTGTTCATAAACGAACTCAGTTTTAGATCGATATATCCTATGCGATCTATATGACAAAGGGGTTCGATTTGGATAAGAATCTGCTCAGATGTTGAAGGCATAGTTGAGTCAAGATATCTTGCAAAAAAGTGGAAGACTCAAAGTTGTCCAAACAAGAACCGATCGATTCTTGGCAGCCTAATTATAACAACTTTGATGCAGTTAATGACTGCAACTAAAAGAAACATGTTTTAGGGGGATAGCTCCACAGTAAGCTTCACATAGTTTAAGGAAGATGAACTTGACCTAAAGACTTGGCTGTTAATGCCGAGGAAGAAGAGTCCTCTTCTTTGCGCTACACAATTCGTGCAGGAGCTTATTTAATGGCAGAGAGCTGAAAACTTACCTTGGCTTTGGAGTTGGGCGTGCCGGGCGTTGGTATTCCGCCGGGCATGTTGGCATCTAACAAAGTGCCGTTGCCGTTAAGTAAAGTGGGTGACTGCTTGAACGTTGTCAGCGAGGACTGCACAAAGGATCAAGGATAAATGATAACAAATCAGTTGAGCTGCAGTTAACAATTGCATAGGACTTACCTGTGGCTGCAGCGATGTGGGCGTGCAACTGCCACCGCCGCCTCCTACGCCGTTCGGGCTACCCAAGCCTGCACCGCCAACAATGCCGCCAACACCGCCGACACCGACTCCGACTCCGCCACCGACTCCGACGCCGACGCCGACAATGCCGGAGCCACCTAGGCTGCCGGAGCTGTTGTGCTGCAAACTGAATTGACTGTTGGTCGTCGAGTTGTTTGGACTGATGCTGCGTGTCGAATTCTGGGCTGGAGAACTGCCGTTGCCTGAAAAATGCACAGCAAGCGGAAATGGAAAACGGTTACAGAAAGCTCAAAGTATGCAAAATAAGAAAAAACCTGCACATATAATTAATATTTGATATCAAGCACACGAAATGTCATTTGATTTTGATTGCAAGCAAAAGTTTGGTTTGGTTTGGGTTCAAGTTCGTTGCCTAAGTCGTTCGTTTTCAAGGCGCACAAATTGCCGGCAAATTGGCAAAATTCAAAACCAAAATCAATAAGAAAAAAAAGAAAAACAGAAATAGTTATCAAAAATAATAATCACACTGGCATACAAAATGCTGGCTCAATGCTCGTTTGCGGTAATTAGCCCAGGCAAAGTATCGAAAATCGGCTTAAAGACTCAACTTGACTCGTGTGCGCGATTCTTGCCAAGGTTAATTACGCCGATTCGGCACTGACAAAAACAGTTAATAGACGACCGCTGGAGATGCCAAGGCGACCCAACGCCCACAGCTGATGAACAGGCAGCCAGCTGAGTGGAGGGGAAAGCGAGGGGGGAGGCGTAGGAGCTGACTGACACGTCTGTTGACTTTATCTGTGGATCAGCTCCAGTGTCTGTCAATAATATATTTGACTATATGCAAATCAAACGAACTAAACAAAAAAAGGTGCCAAAATAAAACAACAAGAGCGCCCGACTGGCAGATACCCTGTGCGCAGTTTTGCAACACAATTTTGAATGCATTAACTCTTCAATAACATCTTTGATAGAATGTGCACAATTTCGGCTTAAACTCGATATATATCGATATATATATCGGTTTTGGGCATATGGGAGATTTAATCGAAAAGAAGATTAAATAGATCTGAGTATGAAAAAATGTAGAAAATCAGTCAATTTAAACATCTATAACTTTTAAATTCTCCAAGTTAAACTTAAAAGTTAGGCATAAAAACCGATATTTATCGATTACGAAAATTTAAACAAAACGTATAGACAGAATTTAGATAAACTTCTAGCTCCAAGAAATCTTTCTTAGATCGATGCGATGTCATTTCGACTTTTTAAGCTGATCAAGAATATATAAATGTATATATAGATAGATATAGTATAGATATAGATATAGATATAGATATAGATATAGATATAGATATAGATATAGATATAGATATAGATATAGATATAGATATAGATATAGATATAGATATAGATATAGATATAGATATAGATATAGATATAGATATAGATATAGATATAGATATAGATATAGATATAGATATAGATATAGATATAGATATAGATATAGATATAGATATAGATATATATATATATATGGATGTGGATATATATAAAGATATAGCTCTATATATATATTTATATCTGCCTGTTACATGCATATGCACAACTTCAGTATACCCTCTTGCAATGGACACAGGGCATACCAAAAAAAAAGTTCACAAAACTGATCTCCAAATCTAACCCCAATTAAGAAAACTATTTCAGCTGTTTTTTTTGTTTTTGGCTGTTTTGTGAGCTGTGGGCGACTTATGCAACAATTACACACGCACACACACACACACACACACACACACACACACACGCACACACACACAGATGCACGTGTTGTGCTGCGATGAGTAAGCAGCGTTCAAATTCGAGTACTCGCTTTTGTAAGTACTTCAATGCTGCGCGTACTCGAGTAGGCGCCTCTTGAAGCCGCTTGCGCAGGCGCACGCTCGAGAATCGAATCGAAACGAAAAAAAAAAAATAGAAACAAACAAACAAATAAAAAAGTGAAGGTTAATCGAAGCGAAAGTGAAGCGATTTCCCAAGCTTGCGTTCACAGCTATTTATTTATAATAATATACATTAATATTTGTAAATGCCCTGCGGATCCAGACACTGGGAAAAATAAAAAGAAAAAAAAACGTGGCAAAAGCCAAAACTTTTCAATTGACCAAACAATTTTTCAATATCGCAAATGCGGGCCACATTTTTCATGTGAAAACTCACGATGTTAACTCGCCGCCTTGCACACTTTGTTTGCCCCTCTCCCTCTCGCTCTCTCCCTTTCTCTCTCTCTCTTTCTCCTTCTCTCTCGGTCTCTCACGTTGTCTAAACAACAAGCAAAACGTGACACTGGAGCCTGCAGGCAGCTCCAGCTCCAGCTTCAGCGACGGCGCCAACAAAAGCGGACAAATAAAAATTGGAAAAGAAATGAGAAAAAAGCAAAATAGAAAGTTTTTCTTTTCCCATCGCACTTGCCGGCGCCGTCGTGTGGCTTTTCTTATGCCATTTTCCATGCAAATGAAAAGCGCCTGCGGCATTATTTTCATTGTCTGGCAAAGTCGCGACGCAGACTGTGCACAGCGACAATTAGAGAGGGAATGACGCGTATGTAATCTAATCGTTATCGATATATAATCGAATTGTTATCGATATCACGTACAAAACTGTACTAGCACGTGAAGTTGGTTGCGCTTAGAAGTCATTAATCGATTCCGATTCGATTTTGTTTAAAATTAAATGTAGTATGAAATATAATAATGAAATAGGCTGTGCTTAGGTTTTCCAGTAAATATATTACCCCTTCGAGCATTTTCTCAAGCGTATTAAAACTTCGTTGTGACTGGGAAAAAGCTTTAGTTCAATTATTTCAAGCTTTCTATCCACAATTTTCCACACACACACACACACACACACTCAAATAGGCCCCACTCAGACGGAAGCATATATACTATATTTTATATGCTTATGATTTGGGGCGCAATATGGGCGTGGCACGTGTACAAGCAGCCTGACAAATTGTCATTATCTGCCGCCGCAATCGTGTTTATGGCCAATTGTGTAATTTTCTTTGCATTTTCTTGCACTTTTTTTGCTTGGCAAATTGTTATGCAAATTTTAAGTGCAGCTGCCAGACCTTGCAACTGGCAGCAGCTACAATTGTCGTTGCCAGACTTTCGAACACGTGTTCTATTGTTGTTATTGTTGTACCTGTTACTGGTACACCCGATCAGGTGAAACTGTGCTTCGAGTCGTGCTCAAGCGTGACTCAGTTTGTGACGCCCACTCAAGCTAATGTTGTACAAATATATTGAACTATTGAAACAAGTTGTGCGGCCTTTTGATGCCAAAAGGCAAATACAAGAATTGTATACAGTGAAGACTCGACTGACGAACCGGGTTGTTGCAAGAACAACTCATTTTTACTATGTTACTATTGAACTATTGTTGCCAAATGTGAAATACAACAATTGTATACAGTGATGACTCGAACTAACGAACGTGCTGAGAACAACTCAAATAGCAGACCTCAATACTTTTTCTTAAATATTTGAATTCTATTTTCTTATTTAAAAGTTAAAAGCTGCTCATTTTTGTATAAAAACAAACTCCCCAAGAGAACTTAAAACAGCTCGAAATCTTTTTGAAAAGTTTTCATTATATGTTAAAATACCAAAATATATCGATAAAGTTTTAATATATTCAAAAAGAAAGTTGTTTAAGAATCTGCACAGATATTTGCCCAATAAGTTTTCCCATCTTCTTCATTTATTCGACATATGACAAGAAGAGCTCTGTTAACATGCCAAAAGGGTTACAATTCTAGCCGCTCGCCTTAGCGAGCTTTCACTGTACTTAATAAACTACTTAATCAAGTTGTGCGAGGGAATACAAGAATCGCATTTTTTGTTCATCTTTTTTGGATGGATTTGGTTTTGCGTCATCTGCTTCTGCTTCTTACCCAGCTTGAGAGCCGATAAAAGCATCATCTCAGCTTGAAGTCGTGCGGCACGCTCAAGATCTTTGGTTTCTTAAAGATAACTCGAGTGGGTCTCACTTTTATTTTTTTCTTTCGAAATTAATTGCAGTCAGTTTTCAATATTTGTGTCAATTCACTTTCACATAAATCACTTGTTCGATTGTTCAGTTATTTGTTGACGTTGTTGTTGCTGTTGTTGTTGTTGTTGCATTCGCTTTGACTACAGTTTAAAGTGGTTGTCAAACTGGTTTCATGGCTGCTTCCTTTTTGCAATTCTCTTGTTGTTGTTGTTGTTGCCTCTGCTGGCATTTCCATGCTACTTGGCCTGACCTTTAGGCGTACGACGCTCTGTGCGATCTCTGCTGCGACTGGCTTTTACCGTTACACGTTTAGCCTGGCCCCCAAGCGCTTCCTGGCAACTGCTCCAGACTGTATATATACACTATATACTCTATAAATTTATATATATATATCTATATTCTTTGTATATATATATTTGTTCGATTTGGTTTCTTTGACTTTCAGTTATTTGCTTTACTGTTACTTCTTCAGCTGCTGCTTCTTCCTCTTTGGCTTTCACGCAATGGCAGCGGCAGCCATTTTGAAAAACAAAATATTTATGACAAGACGCAATGTTTTTTTTTTTTGTTAGTATTTTCTTTTGCACTGCAACAACAACAATAATAAGCGTCAGCAACTCGTTAATAATATTATTATAAATATAATTGAATTATGCATTTAATTATAGGTTTATTATATTGTTTGTTATATTTCAAAATTTATTTAGCGCGTCGCGAACTGTTTCTGTAAATGTTTAAAAGCCAACTGACAAAACGCCAAATGAAATTTTGCTAGCTAGCGACAGCAGCAGCAACAACAACAACAACAACAACAACAACAACAACAGCAACAACAACAGCAGCAGCCGAAGGTGAGCGACGACGCTGGCAAGTGTAGAGCAGAGCGCACGACGAACGCATGAATGGCAAACGCTGAGAAAATGAAACAACAAAAAAAAAAAGCGGCTTCAACGTCAGCAGCGGCAATAAACATAAAGTAAAACTTAATTGTAGCAGCAGAGCAGAGCAGCAGCAGCAGCAGCAACAACAACCATAACAATCAGTGCAGGTGGCAGCGACGCAAAGAGCAAAGCTTTTAGCAGAGAGCGCACGCGGCGAACTGAAGTTAGTAACAAGCAACAACAACAACAAGTAGCAGCGACAGCAGCGGCGACAGCGATAGCGGCAGCGGCAGCAGCAGAAGCCGCCAAGC